TGAAATGATTCATTCATCGATGATTTCGTTTTTTAGGTTTGTTTTGATTTGAAAGAAAGCGTTACGCCCCGACACCACAAATATCCATTAATTATTGAATAGTTTTCGCTGTCGTTGTTTTTCATCTTTGATATTGAGAATTGAGTGGGTAGCGTGTAGTAAATATTTTATGGCTTATTTTGAAATATGTAATTTCAAAATTATGCGTAATAGAAATAATTAAGGTCTATACGACGACGTGGATCTGCATAGGTAACTTTTGTCATAAGCCATTACAACATTCAAATGCGAAACTTGAAAGAAAAAAATCGATGAATAGTGTAACTAAAATCTTAAATATACCGAATATCGGAAGGGATCGTTATATGGGGGCTATACGAAGACGTGGACCTGCACAGGCAATTTTCTGTCATAGACTGTAGTATGTATTACGAACTTCAAATACCAAATTTGAAACATTTGCAGTGCATAATGTCGCTAATATCATCAATATACCGAATATCGGGAGGTACGTTATATGAGGGCTATACGAAGACGTGGACCTGTACAGACAATTTTCCCTCATAGGCTGTAGTATCCATTAAGAACTTCAAATACCAAATTTGAAACCATTCTGGGGAATAATGTCGCTAAAATCATCAAAATACCGAATAACGGGAGGTGCCGTTATATGGGGGCTATACGAAGACGTGGACCTGCACAGGCAATTTTTTGTCATAGGGTGTAGTATCCATAACTAACTTCAAATACCAAATTTGAAACATTTCCGGTGAATAATGTCGCTTAAATCATCAAAATACCGAATATCGGGAGGTATCGTTATATGGGGGTCATACGAAGACGTGGACCTGCACAGACAATTTTTTGTCATAGGCTGTAGTATCCATTGCGAACTTCAAATACCAAATTTGAAACATTTCCAGTGAATAATGTCGCTTAAATCATCAAAATACCCAATATCGGGAGGTATCGTTATATGGGGGTCATACGAAGACTTGGACCTGCACAGACAATTTTCTGGCATAGGCTGTAGTATCCATTACGAACTTCAAATACCAAATTTGAAACCATCCTGGGGAATAATGTCGCTAAAATCATCAAAATATCGAATAACGGGAGGTGCCGTTATATGGGGGCTATACGAAGACGTGGACCTCCACAGACAATTTTCTGTCATAGGGTGTACTATCCATTACGAACTTCAAATACCAAATTTGAAACAATTCCGATGAATAATGTCGCTAAAATCGTCAAAATACCGAAAATAGGGAGGTACCATTATAGGGGGGCTATACCAAAACGTGGACCTACATGGCTTATTTTCAAAGTAAAAGTCCTGCAGACATAATATACATTTGAGTAAAATTTTATCAACCTACATCATTTCGTTCGGAATCTAGAGTGATTTTCACAGACGGATAGACGGATAGATGGAAGAACAACGCAAAATCGACATAGAATTTTATGCTGATCAAGAATATATATTCTTTGAGGGGTCTAAAACGACAGGTGCTACAAACGGAACGACAAACATAATATACCCTCCATACTATGGTGGAGGCTATTAAAAAAAATTTCAACAAAATGAAAATTTTCCTTTCGGTCTTTTTTATCTACGAGCAGACAGCATGTCTTCGATATTAAAATGCTATGCAGTCATTCGTTTTTAAATTTAGATTTTGTTAAAAATCTGTTTTTAAAACAATGCAATAAATTAATTTAAATTAAATATGACATAATTTCGTGTTGTCCTAACAACAAAATTCAAAAATTTTGGCAAAGTCATCAAAAGTTGTATTTCTATTTATATATTTCTTGGCTTTGTTTTTAGTCAATGTCATGCCAGAGTTAATGCACCATTTGCCATTTTATGAAATGCCCAGGCAGCAACAGTGCAAAATATATTTCAAATTAAATGACCTAGGAAATGTGTATGTCATCGTTGACAAATGGTAAATGCAAATATTTATTTAAGATATTTTAAACTTTTGAGGGAGTGATATAGTAAGGTAAACTCAAAATTCCGAAATAACGGTGTACAGTTAAACCGAGGCTTTTGTTTCCAAATCCATGGATGGAGGCGATAAACTCGGTTGTCAATGACAAATATATTCTACGTAAAATTTCACTATAAATTGCCAAAGACATAAAATCATTTTGGAGGACCTAAAACACCCACTTAATGACTCGACTATGGGGTTTATTTGTTTTACAAAAATTTTCTATAAAATACTATAAAATGCATGGATTTCAAGGAATTCTAACTCGAATACTCTCAAAAATGGGGGTAAACTTTTTTTGTTCTACTTTCATATTGTTTTCGGATTTTCCGGTAGTTTTGGCAAATTTAATTTTTGTCGCACAGTGCAATAAACATTTTTCAAATAATTTAAATCGGAAATACAATTACATTGAATAGGCCATTCGCAAAAATAAATAATTTTTGTGTCGTCGTGTAGCACCTTGTCGAGTCGCAATACAGAAATTGTCGAAAAATTCGAGCTTTTGGGGCAAGCTAGTGATATGCAGGCCCCTGAAGAATATTGCTGCTGTAACCCAAAGTGCCGAAGAATTCCTAGATTTATTACTTCCTCCGTTCTTTGGAATCGACCATCCCACAAACCTGAATGCATGAAAATTATCCAAAGTTGTATAAAAAAATCATCTATTCCACTTTAGTGGGTACCCAAATTACCGCTTTAAAGTTAAAGTACCGCGTCTAGGGCTCCAAAAGCTATTGTAAACAAGTCTCTACACCTTCAACGTTGTTTAACCACCTGGTACTGCTGTGTTCAAAAAAGGAAACGACCTTTGTGGACCGTGTCCATAGATATAGTGATATAGTAGGTTGGTTTGACTGGGAATATAAAGAGATGCAGCGTGTCATGTGGGCCTGGCCACACACTGGACATCTCTATAACTTCTTTGACCTTGTCAGAACTTAGTCCTGCTTGATAGGCTTGTTTTTCTAAATGATCTCTCTCATAACTCTCTGCAGTTCCGAAAACTCTTCCTTTACAATTCAATAATGTTAGCAGACCAAAACACCACAGAAATGCCTATAAAGTTTCACAAAGGTTTCCTTATTAACTCCCCAAGAGCTGCCGAATAGAGACTGAAGAAGCTTGTTCCTACTTCTAATCTTATCAGAGATATCTGTTTGTGTTGTAATAGTTGCACATGCTTTAATAGACTGTAACCAGAGGTCTTCTGTAGTGTGTGAGGTAGATTTTGGCGGGCAATTAAAAAGGTGCAGCGTATTGTGTCGACTTCTTCCTCAATTTGTTATAAATACTAGTTGAGACGACTGCACTATCACAACTACCCTGGATGGGGCTGGACTCCGAGAATGGCATTCATGGTATAGTTATTGATGGTATCTCTGACTGCTTTCGTATGAATGCTACTCGAACCTGCCTGATAGGTTTCTTTATGCAGAGGCTCTCTCTTGTAGCCTACCTCTCTAGATAATGTATGTCCTTCCTGGCACGCCTGGGTGGGGGATTATTATTCCCCAATAATGGAGTGGATGACTCAAACGGTAATACCCAAGCAGGTATTGCAGCGAAAATGTACGGGAGGGACCTTTGCCTTCTCATGTAGATGGTCCACTGGTGTCAAGAGAAGACACCCGGGATATTCTTCCACTGGGTAGCACTTTTATTCGCAGGCCACACTGGGCCGTAAAGCTGATCACAGAACGATCTATCGCATTATAAGTGGTCAAAACGGGCTCCTTGTTCGCACCCCAAAAGCTGGTGGCTAGGACCTTGAGGACATTGCTTCTACTTTTCATCTTGTCGCAGATAGCTGTGGCTTGCGCGAACGACTTAAACATGCTGTAGAATGTGACCCCTAGGATTTTGTAGTAGTTCGTGGTTGATATAATATTACCCTAGACCTGCACATTAATCTCAGTTCTCATCTCCGCAGACCATGTGGTGATGAGTTTGATTTCGCGGCGAATATTTTTATATTCCTCGCGTGGAAGTAGGCGGATAGCTATTCAACCCTACACATGTGTCACCAACACCGGGGCTCGACGCCATGATCGTACACGATCTCTATGCTGTCTGGAGGATCTGGATTTCCAGAAAGGTAGAGGTTAAACAGTTTCGGAGATATCACTCTAACTTGGGATACCCCCTGTTTCACTTTTCTGGTTTGGATTTCTTGTTCCGGAATTCCACGTACCACTGGCGTCCAAACATATTGTAGATTATCCAACGTTTCAAACTTGGCCGGAGGAAAGTTCTCCATACATCCTCAGACAATGTGGTGTGGTTGACGGTATCAACTACTTGTTCTGGTTTAATCCAAAGATATCCGTGGTATGTGCAGAGGACATAAATGGGCTTTCGAAAGCAACTTGGGGTAGTAGGTAGTCGGAATTAAAACACCATTTCCCTGCACAATCAGTAATAGCGACGTGGTCTATATTTTCATATTCCTCGCATTGGTAAAATCGTTGAAGTGAAAATGTTACACAGTTCCAGCGATATGTTTGCGCTTCTGATGGCATGTACATCTTCGGTCGTAGTATTCTCCTATTAGTCCTGTCACTCTCGCTCATCTCTTCCGATCCGCCACTGTTATGCTGCAACACGAGACAGACGTCCAATCAACTTTTATTTAAGATTAGGTATCGACTTAAGCGTTGGCCATAATTTACGCGATCCGGTACAGATGTTGCAACACTTCATATACTCTCTCCTAAAAAGGTGTTCACTCTGCATTCATGTTCTTTTTTGTGTCGTTTGATTTAGATCTTAAAATTGTTCCAGGTTCTTTGATAGAGCAATTCTTCATTGATTTTGTGATTGTACAAAATTTTAGGATCGCTGCTTGCATTGTAGAAAAATAACCTGCTAATTTGTGTTTTACATTGTTCTTAAGTTGGTACGAACTTCAAAAAATTTCCTGAGATTGTATTCACACCTATTTTACGTTGAGCCGGTTTTCCCACAATTTAAATGATTTATGGAATTCTTTAAACTTACCAAAATTACTTGCAACGTTATCATTGGTTTCTAGTTCCCAAGCATTCTGCAAATCATAAACCACAAGCAATTATTACAACGGTATTTACACGGTCTGCATTAAAACTTACCGGATCAACATCAATATCCAATGGCGCCATTGTTACATTGGCATTCTCCAACATATTACTACGTATTGTTTCATAGCGAGCCTTCGATTCTTCCGATGTGGATAGGTTAAACGTATCACGTGGTTTATCAGGTTGATCATCAGTCCGGTTTGTTGAATTTTCCGAATTATCTTCTTCTTTTATTACATCCCAACGCATAGAATTAATATGAGCTGGAGGTAAAAATGGATTAGTGGGTGTGACAGAGGAAGAACGATTGCTACTACTACTACCACCAGTGTCGTCGGTGGTCTGGCGTGTCACTTGGGTATTGGATGTACCAAAACTAGTTGAACTATAATCACTAAAATCTAAAACAAAGCTATCATCGGTTGTTTCATTAACGTTAGGGCTAACAATCTGTAAGGAGAAAGAAGAAATAGAATTAATGGAAAGATTCTTTAAAAATGAATGTTTTTACATACCTGCTGATTAACAAATTCATATTCTAAAGGCTCATCGGCACCGGGAAACGCCAGCACCAATTCATTCATAACCTCCACAACTGATTGCATGGAAGGTCTTAAGTCGGGTCGAGTTTCCCAACATGAAGTCATTAAATTCTGTATGGGTACTGGCCATTCAGCCACAATGGGTGGCCTTTCACCTTTGTGAATTTTCCACATAATTGAATAGGTATTGTCGACATCTTTGAAGGGCTTTTGTCGTGACAACACCTCCCACAGGACTATACCCCAACTGAAAATATCACATTTTTCGGTATATTTGGAACCCTCAAATACCTCAGGCGCCATCCATGCAGCTGAACCTTTGTTATTTGTCATAAGAGTTGATTTATCGGCTACCGTTCCGAAATCACAAATTTTCAAATGGCGACCCTTGTTGGTCAACAGTAAGTTGAGGGGTTTCAAATCACGATGTATCAGAGGCTTTGGTTTCATGGCATGTAAATAGGCGACACCCTGAAAGCAATTAAAAAGGGGAAATTAGTGGTTTTGAACATTTCATATTGTTGTATATTATATTCTGTCATTTTTCAACCGGTAAAAACATCAAGTAAACATGTTCAGGACATTCTTGCCGAGATAATTTGCCTTGGACGCACAATGGGTAGACCACAAAACAAATTCAAACTTCAACATTTAAGACAATTTCATAGGGTCTACAAAAGAGAGATTGGAAAGACTTCAATTCGATGTTACCATTCTCAAATTTTCAGGTCATGGATCCTAGTATCCTTAAGCTTCGTGCATTAGTTTCTTCTGAGTTTATATATGATTAAGTTTATAAACTAAATCCTATTCAATTTACGACGAAATCGCAAGATTCTTGTACCCAACAAAATGTAACGAGCTTTTCAAATTTCGAAGACGTTCCTCAAAACCTGGAATTTGGTAGAAAAAATATAGACGGTAAACCGACTAATACTTTCTAAACAGTTTTCTGACCGCAGCATATGGTTTGACATGTTAAATTTTTTGGAAATCTTGGAACTTTGGTAGGGGAGTTGTCAAAAGAAAATTGCTAAATGTACAGGGTGAGATAAAAAAGGCAAAAAAGTCAAAGGCGATAGTTTTTTACATTAAATTTCGGAAATAGCATCAAATTTTAGAATAAGTTTAGATTTGTTTGAATTGTCAAGTATGGCCTTCAAACGGCCAATGAAACCGTCACACGTTGCCAGAATGTTGCTCTCCAATATTTTGGCCCCTTCCCGGCGAAGCGCTTGTTTGAGGTGATCGACACATTGGTATTTTTTTAGTTCCAACCTTGCTTTCCAACATACTCCAGACACAATAGTCCAACGGATTGGTAGCCGTAGATTTTGTTGGCCATTAATCGCTGGAAATGAAGCGAGGAACCTCATTTTGTAACCATTCTTGGGTGGCGCATGCTGAGCGCGATGGTGCTGAGTCCTGTTGGAATATCCAAGGCTTGCGGCTAAAATGTTTGTGTGCCCAAGGCTTTAATATACCCTCCAGAATATTTTCGCGATAATATTCGGCATTTATTCTGATGCCACGGTCGATTAGTACGAGCGGAGAGCGACCATCGGCTGTTATGGCGGCCTACAACATCACCATGGCCGGCAGTTGACTTCTAGTGGCCAACCGAAGGTGCAAATTTTCAGCTGACCTCTTTGACAAGTAAACACGATTATTTTGTCATCATCGGAGAAAACCAAAGTCAGCAGTTCACCACTTTGGGCCAAGCGAAGTAACTCTTTGGCTCTTCTGAGTCTATATTCTTTTTGTTGCGGTGTAAATTCTTGCTTTTTTTGGAATTTGAATGGCTTTACCTCGATCGATATGTTCGATCAAGTCGCTTCTTTACTGTTGGTTGGTTGCTTCTTACGAGTTGGTTGCAGTTTTTATACCCTCCACCATGGGTAGGAGGGTATATTAACTTTGTCATTCCGTTTGTAACACCTCTAAATATTCGTCGTAGACCCCATAAAGTATATATATTCATAATCAGCATAAAATTCTAAGACGATTTAGCGATGTCCGTCTGTCTGTCTGTCCGTCTGTCCGTCTGTCTGTCTGTCTGTCTGTCCGTCTGTCTGTCTGTTGAAATCACGATAGAGCCCACATTATTTGACGTAGACCTTTGAAATTTGGCACAAGTGTGTGTATTGTCCCTAGGATGGTTGGTATTGAAAATGAGATATATCGGTCCACGTTCTGGTATAGTCCCCATATAACGGTACCTCCCGATATTCGGTATTTTGATGATTTATGCCACATTTTTTCACGGATTTATCTGAAAATTGGTATTTGTAGGTCATGACGGATCCCTGAGCGTGTGGCAAAACATTGCATGTATAGGTCCACGTTTTGGTATAGCCCCCATATAACGGTACCTACCGATATTCGGTATTTTGATGATTTATGCCACATTTATTCACGGATTTGTCTGAAAATTGGTATTTGTAGGTCACAACGGGTCCCTGAGCGTGTGGCAAAACATTGCATGTATAGGTCCACGTTCTGGTATAGTCCCCATATAACGGTACCTCCCGATATCCGGTATTTTGATGATTTATGCCACATTTTTTCACTGATTTGTGTAAAAGTTGGTATTTGTGGGTCATAATGGGTCCTAGTTCGTGTGGCGAAACATTGTAATTATAGGTGCACGTGTTGGTGTAGCCCCTATATAACGGTACCTCCCGATATTCGGCATTTTAATGTTTTTTGCCACATTTCTTCTAATGTTCTTTTACCCTAGGGTGGAGGGTATTAAAAGTTTGGCCCGGCCGAACTTAATGTTTTTTTACTTGTTTAATTTCACCCTGTATTTATCCCATTTGGGCACCATACCAGACATCTAGCAACAGTGTGAGTGGACCGATACATCCCATCATAACTCTATGTAAAGCATTGGCAGAAATATATTAGTCTGCTTTATGCCAGTCATATATTTAAAAACGTTATAGACGTTTTGGAAGAATTCACAAGATTATTTGCAATATATTTTTTGAAAAGAAACACTGTCTATCAATTGGAATCAATTCAGAAAAAATGATTTGTTTCCGATGCGGATCGATAAGTAACCCTTTGTAATCTTATCTCGTTAAAAGTTTGGAACGCCTGTAAAATAATTTGTTTTGTGCAACGTCAGTATCACAAATTAATACACCTAAAACAATGCTTGTTTTATTCGTCCACTAGAAAATAAGGCAGACAATCGGTCGGGCACCCATAAACGTAAGGTCACAAATTACAGCAAGCCTTCTCTCCCACGAAGTGCGGTGCAGTATTATCTATATATATAAAATTGACTATCAATAGATAATAGACAAAAGCTACACACATCTACAATAGATTAGCGATAAGTTGTCGCACTACTTCCGCAAAAAGACAAAACTAAAGCCCTTAGAATACATTGAAATTAGGTACAACAATCTTATCTTTTTGCATTCATTTGCCATCGATTTTTACACACACTTCACTCCACTCACCTCGGCACATTGGCGCGCCCAGCTCATGGCATGTGCTTTCGAATAGTACGGTTTTACTTTGCCGTGCAAAAAATCATACAAGGAACCTCCTTCGGCATATTCCATTATTAAATATGTGGACATCTGGTTCAGTGCTATTCCATATAGTGCTATGATGTTGGTATGTTGGACTCTTGACAACTGTTTGACTTCGGTTTCGATGGCTTTCTGTTCGGCCTTGGGACCGAATTCTTTAACGGCCACATAGCGGTCACGCCAGAAGGCTTTGTATACAACACCATACGAACCATGGCCAACTTTCTGTAAAAGAGGAAAGGTCATAGTAATTATATAACAATTATGATAGCCAATAGGGGCACAGTGTGAGGGACGGTCATGCAAACCTCTTTAAAGGAAATCTCAGAAAAATCCACACTGGAACATAGAATAGTAAGGCCACCGCTGCTAAATATGCCCGCACTGGGCTGTTGTTGTTGTGGTGGCGTTGGCAGTGCTAAACTTGCAGCACCCTCTGTTGAAACTGAAGATGACCCCGTCTCTGTTGTGGGTGTACTATTTGTTGTTGCTGGTGCTGCCGGCAATTCATCGGTCATCTTTTGTCAGTGGAACCACACAGAATGTGGTACCTTCCTGTGGCAATAAAGCTGCGCCTAGGTACTATTAGACCTCTCGGCAATCTAATATTTTTGGGAAATTTTTCTCCTTTTGTTGCGGACCCCTGCCTCCCCTGTTCAACGAGATTATTTATTGCTTGCTGTTCACTCAAAACTGCGTATTGTTAAATTCTTTTGGTATTTTTTTCTTGTTTAGTTTGGCCAATCGCATGTCTCCTTTTGCCAATTTGTTGTTATTTATTTTTACTTTCGTTTTAATATTACATAATTATTGTTGTTGTAATTTTCCAAAATATTTTGTACGGAATTTTATTTGTTTTCCACAATTTTTTTTGCAAAAAAACCTATCGTATTTTTTGTGAGACAACAAAGCGCAACGGATTTTTCGACGGCGGTGCGCTAGAGGTGGTAAACAACTGACGTCAAAATCGATACTTTGTTAAAAGGAGATATCGATTGATAGTGTTTTTTTCTATCGATATTGTACCACTAATGACACAATAAAAAGGTATGGTAGAATTACCAGCTAATTGTAATTTTTTCTGAGTGTGCCCGATGCAGTTGGCAAACTGGTAAATTGCGATTGGTAAACTGGAAAGGTAAGCAATATCCCAGTTCTTTGCAAACATTAGACCAGTTGAGATATTCAAAAAATTAACATGTCAACTTTCCATGCCGATGTACGTGGGATTTTAAGATTTAGCTCTCTATGGCTCTCTAGCCATAGCCAGGTATATATCATTTGATACGATCAAAATGTGTCTAGTCGAAATAACGGTTTTAGACCCTAACTCTCTTTGGACCAAGTACGTTTCCGGGCATTTGGAGTCGATCTAGCAATATCCGTCCGTTTGTCTGTGTGGCTGGCTGGTGCGCACGATAACTCTCGAAGGGAGTATCCAATTTGGTCCAAACTTGGTACATCGTTATAGATTTGTCAAACTTAAATCGAGTTCGGAGGTAGGCAATATCGGTCCACTCCTTTTGGTACTTCCCCCACATAAATCGATATTTTCAAAAAATATATTTTCTGCACAGAAAGAGGAGCGATAATCCGATTTCTATCCAACTTTGCAAATTCTAATATTTTCGTCAGTCCTAGGTCAGGTGCGAAAATGGACAATATCGGTCCACTCCATCAAGTACCTCTCCCACAAAGGGTTAAAATTTTGAATAATTACAACTCTTATAAAATGTGATGTAAGGGTACGATTGTCTTCAAATTTCACACATCCCAATAATTTTATTAACCCAAGGTCTGGTGTGAAGATGGAATATATCGGTCCACTCCTTCTGGTACCTCCCCCATAAAATATCGAAATTTTGAATATCCATGAAGCTCATATAGCGTGAAATTAAGATCAGATTCCATTCAGACTACGTACATCTCAATATTTCCATCAACACAACCCTGTTATAAAAATGGTAGAGATCGGACCATTTATTCTGGTACCTCCACCACGTAGGGTAAATGATATTGAAAAAAAAAACGCTCAAAGAATGCGAAATAAACTTCTATATCTCATCATATTTCCCACATACAAACATTTTTGCTAACACAAGGACTGAAGATGATATATCTGATGATATATCACATTTATTTAGGTCGGTTTTTTTTTCTAAACTAAATTCTTTGAGATGTCACGCTCTTTCAGTAATTGTGCGATATAACACATGCACTTACACTTAGTAGCATCTGTTGTCTATGAATTTTACATCAACTTATTCAAGTCAACAACCCTCTTTTAGTACACGTCAACAGACATTTGCAGGGCTGTATTTTAATATGTTGGAGACTTTATGTGTATTCAGTCGAATACTTCCAAAGGTAGTTTGTTTTAATTACCGCCAGAGGCCAGTTCATTATAAAACAATCTCTTTATATTTCATTATTTTAATATATTAAATATATTATTATTATTTTAGTAAATATATTTACTTATTATTGCATTAATTTAATATTTATATCGAATAAATTTAAATATGGCGTAGTTTTTAAGTTTTTTCCTAACATTTTTTTTAATATTTTTTTTCGATTCAGGATTAAAACAAACGATTTTACGGCAATTCATATCAAATATTTGCAAGTTTTGGCATTTCAAAATGTAACACAATGTTTGAATTTTAAATACAAAATCATAGGAAAAACATTTATAAGACTTTTTTGGGACTTTAAGGTCCTGGCAAGATGCAGTAACATTCTTGTGTGGCGCGTGCTGAATGCGATGGTGTTGAGTCCTGATATAATGTCCAAGGTCTGCGGCCAAAATGTTTGCGTGCCCAAGGCTTTAATACAACCTACAGAATATTTTCGCGATAATATTCGGCATTTATTCTGATGCCACGGTCGATTAATACGAGCGGAGAGCAACCATCGGCTGTTATGGTGGCTCACACCATCACCATAGCCGGCGCTTGAGTTCTGGTGGCCAATCGAAGGTGCACATTCTCAGCTGACCTCTTTGGCAAGTAACCATTTCTGATGATGTTGCTGTTTTCTTCCCTCCACTTCTTTGACGTCGGGCTACACTACGACGGGCTACTGCTCACGGTAACGAGCACAAACAAAAGATTTATTCACATTTAAACGCTGGAGTGTTCTAACGATAGCCACTTGTGGTTTTCCAGCCAAATATAAAAAAATCACACTAACACGCTTGAATTCCATCAAAAATTTTTTTGTCTGGAAAACACTCACCAAAATCCTTTTGTACGCTTGTAAACAATACAATGAGCTGTCACTGAAATAATTTTAACAGCTGTCGGACGATTGGCGTAGAAATGACAGCAGTCTGAAGTTGGTTTGAGTTTTTTCATCTCACCTTATAAAGGGACCAACATATTATGGAATATATTTCTCTACACTCAAGAATCATAGATTTAAAAATGTATCTTGTCGGTCCACTAAAGATTAATTCCGATTTCATGTATTTTTTACGATTTGGTCATGTATTCCATTTCATGTTGCGGTTTAAGAACCCAATTTACAATGAAATTTGAACTAGAAAAAGTTTTTCTTTGACACTTTCCGAAAAAAAAAATAAATAAGTATAGGGGGAGATTTTGACTTAAATTGGAAAAATATATTTTCATTTGCAGTACACAAATTTCGAGTGTAATTTTCGGTATATTCTGAGATTTACAGAATTTCAAAAAAGTTGACAAAGGTTACTTGGCGGTATAAACTTTCAAAACGGTGAAACACGTGTCTTCTATTTTTAGCTCTACTTTTATAATCTATTGGATTTTATTCAGTTTTATAGAGAAAACAAAATTTTGTCGCAAGGTGAATCAACTGGTTGTCACGAAAATATTCTGTAGGTTGTATTAAAGCCTTGGGCACGCAAACATTTTGGCCGCAGACCTTGGACATTATATCAGGACTCAACACCATCGCATTCAGCACGCGCCACACAAGAATGTTAAAAAAACGAGCTTCCTCGCTTCATTTCCAGCGCACAATGACCACCAAAATCTCCGGATACCAATCCGTTGTGTCTGGAGTATTTTTTGCACTAAAAAATGCCAAAGTGTCGATCACTTTAAGCAAGACCTTCTCCGGGAATGGACCAAAATACCGCAGAGCAACATTTAGACAGCGTGTGACGGTTTCATTGGCCTTTTGAAAGTCATAATTCGTGCCAAAGGTGACCAATTCGAACAAATCTAAACTTATTCTAAAATTTGATGCATTTCCCGACATTTTTTGTTTTCATTCAATAAAATTTAAAAAAATTTAAAAATTATGCCGTTTGACTTTGTTGCAGTTTTTTTATGTCACCCTGTACTTTGTGGGGTCTAAAATGTATATTCCGAGGTTTTACAAACGCGATGAAAAACTTAATATACCCTTCCTACTATGGTGGGTTTTTTAAAAGTTATTATATATCAATGGGCTTGAATATAAGCAGAATTATTGATTTTGGACACAGATCTGAATCGTTGTAAAAGCTATCCAGAAAAAAGTAATATATTTTGATTTTTTGCTGTGAATCATAAATATTACGGCTTCACATTCGGAACCGGTCAATTGGCCACCTGGATCGTACGATTTAACGCCTTATACTATTTTTTATATGAGGCTATGCTTAAAGTCATGCCAATACAAATGAGCCCGCTTCAACTGATGCATTTCAGGATACCAAGGAGGTATGTACCTGCAGAGATAATGCCAAAATTGGGATATGCGGATGCATCATTTGAGGCGCAATCGCAGTCAACAGTTTCACAAAATCATTTTCAAATATTAAATTATATGGACCGTACTTAGTTTAAATAAAGATTTTATGTATTTGTCTAAATTTTATATAACTTCTCAAAATTTATATAACCTCTAAAAAACCAGTCTTCCCAAGTGGAGGTCACTTAGAATTAGGTATTGTCTGTACTTCCTAATACTGGGTATTTTCATGGTTTTGACGATATTTTTAACAGAATTGACTGCAGTTTTTATTTCGAATTCTTATTGGAACTCAACGTCACGGAATTGGCCCAAACAGCTGTGAGTTTCGCTTTTTGCAGCATTAGGTGTTAACGATTTTTTTTGGAATAATCAGCTAATCATCAATTCATATTCGGATGTAATTGTCGTTGGGGATTCCTAGCAAACAAGTCTATTAAGCTCCTCAGTAGCAATATGTAACGTTTCAATAACGAATCTTAGCGAAACGAACTTTTTTCCCTAACAGTGGAGGGTGCTAATATTTCCGGCCCCACCGAATTTAATGGCTTTTTAACTTATATTACTACTCATTAAATCAAAACTTCCCTAGATGCTGGAATATTTTTTTTTTTTGAGTTGCCAGTTCATGCCAATTCCAAAGATAAGACAAAGTGGTTGAGTTTTTAAGACTCCTTCAAGGATTACCCAATTGTTAATCTCTTCAAAAGGAAAAGTTGGAAATAAACTATCGAGAAATGCAAATTTTGAATAATCTTTCTCAATTCTCCTGTTCCAAAAGCACTGAAGAAAGGATGAATGGATTAAAATTCAATAAAAATGAGACAATTGTATTCGAAAAATAAAAGAAACAAAACGAAAGAGAATATCCGAATTTAGTTATTTATAGGAAATGTTGTACATGATTTACATATTATCCTTGTTTTATTTCATTGCATGCAATGGAAAAAGGGTGGAAAATACGAAGAAGGAAATAAAGGCAACCGAAAGGATACACATATAAATATCGCAAAAAAGGACATCCATCCATTTGCTAAAAAAAGAAAATAAAACTAGACATGAATTGTTTTATGTAATAAGGATATAACGGATAAAAAACGATTATTGCCGAAGGCCATAGTCTCCCTAAGTGGATGGGAGAAAAAGGGGGTCAGTATAGAATACGAAATACAAATGATTTTGTGTGTGTTTTAAACTACATATGCATTTGAATGACGGATGG